TACAGCGAATTTAGGGCAACGTCACAGTTTAAAGAATACAATGTTTAACCTTTAGCGTGTTATGGTGCACAATAAAATTTTCTACCTATTAGACGCAGAAGTTGATTACTGTCTTGTGTCTTGAATATGCAAAAAACTGTGCAGGAGTAGTAAGGAGTTTCCACCAGCCCAACTCATTAAAGATTTTTCATTAAATAAGGATTGGAGGCCTATCAGTTAGAAATGCCTGAAGGCAACTTATGTATACATCTTTAGGCACCTAGGTTTAAAATTATGTTTCAATGGCTGGTTTGCTGCGTTGGAGTCTGTGAGTTATGAACATTTTAAGTTTTCACTACCACTTCTTGGTTCCATAGGAATGTACTCACTGTCTGTATGAAAGTCGACCAAGTAGGGGTGGCTTTTTTTACATGACCATATACATTATAAAGTCATATAAAGTTATTACTGTTTAACATTTCAACTTTGGATGCGAACAGTGGCTTCAAATTGGCAAGTTTATGTTTTCAGATTCATGATTAATTCTTACTGCTTTTTTCCTGCAGTTTGAGAAATGTCCTTAGTTGGTGACTGAAGTTTCCCAGAGCAATATTCCGCTAGGAGATTAACTCTGAAAAACATGCAAAAATGAACTTCTTATGTCTAATGTCGGTAATGGTTTTAAGATTTCTTAGTAAGAATGATTACCCTGGAAAAGCTTTAGCAAGCGATATAAGTACTTGACATGTGGCTCATCCATGATAATTGTATCATTCAACCACTTTCCTATAATTTAACATTAAGCGAATTTCACCATTTGTGGAATCTGTTAGGGTAAGTACCATTTGTGTGGGTTTTAACTTCTCGTTAAGCTACAAAAAAACGCGTTTTGTTTCTGAACCGAGTTATCAGCTTGGACTAGTGTGATTATTTAGTTATTCGATGTGGGTATGCGAGGTCAATTGAGGAAATTTTCTGAAAATTGATTAGACGATTTATGAGATTAAAGGAAGGTTGGAAGGGTTAGAGAGTATCAAAAAAATCATTTGAGGCAGTTTTACATTAAGGTGTGAGTTAAAGTATGCGCTGAGTGATAGGACGTGGGTGGGAGAGAGTCATTAGAGATTTAAACAGTCGAAAGTGTTAAAATGAGTTAGGTGGAAGCAGAAGTTATAAAAAGTGAGATGTTTAAAACAGTGAGGAAGGTCCTAGGTTAGACAATAGGGAAAAAAACTGTTGAGGCCGCCGGTTTGGAAAGGGAAGTCAGAGTTAAAAAAGTGAGGCACATTTAATTAGCATGGGAGTTCAATCTGCTATACTAGGTGATGATTAAAAATGAGGATTATACCTGCTTCCACTTTGAAGGTTAATCAAAGTGAGGTTACAAGTGAGGTTAAAGTGGAGGTTAAAGTGAGTTTTAAAAATTTTTTTGTATCTGAAGGTTAAAAAATGAGGTTAATGAGGTTAAAAGAGATGGTTAAAGGTAAGGTTAAACAGAAAAGGGCGTGCAGAACACGGAGACAAGTTAGTTTAGCAGAGTCCCCATAGGAAGAAATATTATAGGAGTACCTAAGAGCTGTAGGTGAGGGTTAAACAAATCCCCTTTATAAAAAATGAGGGAATATACAAAATAATAGGGTAAAGTGTAAGGTTAAAGTAAGAATTCAATTACGCTTAGTTTAAGATGTAGACTAGGCTCCACACCGAAGTTAATAAAGTGAGTTAAAATGAGTTCTGTTGTTACATCAAAAGCTGAGTTTAGATCACCTCCTATCACTATACTAAATTGTCTCCATTTCTGTTTACTTAAAAATATTAACAGCTCCTCCAGTCTTTCAAGGAAAACTGTGGGATCTCCATTTGGTTATCTGTAAAGAGCTGCTATAATGAGATTTTTGTGTTCAATAAGTATACCCATTACCTCAAAATCCATTTCATTGCAAAGGAAATTCTGATCTAAAACTGACCATGTACATGTGAAAATTTTTTTAATATAAATCACCACTCCACCATGTTTGTGCTCGTGTCTACTAAAATTGTTTCCAAGCTGATAATCATCCAGCTTCTTAAACACTATTTCTTCTTTTAGGCACCAGTGCTCACTTAAGCATAAAATATCATAATTATTTTCAATTGCAAAATCATTGACTGCTGCCAGTTTCTTTTCCATGCCCTGTATGTTCAAGTAACCAATTTTGACCTCATGTCCCTGGTGGGAAATTCCAGATCTAGATTCACTTTTTGCATTTCTTAAATTTAAACCACCTTGATGAGCACAGGTTTCACTGATTCCAGACTTTTCCTTACTCTCACAACATACCCCATTACTTTCCACTGGCCAGGTTTAATCATTAATTAATTGCCTGACCTCGCGATACTACTATACTTCAAAATTTTAATCACTCACATCTGCTTTCTTTTAGAATGTAAAGTCAAAGCCCATGATAATCAACTCCCAATGATAATCAATCTGATTATCATTAAAACAAGCAGAAATATCAGCATTTGAAGAATTGATTAAACATGCATATATGAATGGATACTAAACTAAAGTCTTTAAACAAATTAATATTCCTTTGACTGGATGTAAAGTTCAACAATACGACAACTTAAACAATACCGATACTCCTCACAAGTTGATTGAATGTCATTGGTTAATAACATCAGTTTGCACGGTTTAAAAAAGGTCCTAACAACAGTTTAGTTATTGAACAAAAAACAGTTTGACAATTTCACCAACTTATTCTTACAAATTGGTGTAAATAAAAAACATAGTCTGGATTTTCTGCAATACTGCTATCATGCAAAAAAGTACACAATAAAATATTATAAGTATAAATTATAAAGTGATTAGAAGACATTTTTATGTTCCTGTGCTGACATTTATTTCACAAAATAGGGTTAATGTAAAACTGTCATAGAATGATCTGTACTTATCAGTTAAGGCAAAGAGAATCATCACGTAACTGGCTATTTGGATTTTTATCATGCTAAAGAGTCTCATTCTAAATATGAAATTGAGAACACCAAAATGTCCTCATACCTACCCAGAGCTGATGAACAAAGATCAGGTAAGGAAATCCTAAACATGGATCCATCACTTAATTCCTGAAACACAAATTATAAGTATCTTTTAAACATTGCATAGAAGTCAAGGGCATGTTTTCAAAATACAGTCCCTTAAATTAATTAGGTGCTGTGTGTGTAGGAAAAAAGGTGGGAGACGAATTGGGATATATTTCATGGATCAATTATCCACTTTACAAAAACAAATTGAACAAAAAACTTTTTAAATACATACCAAAATCAAAATCAACAAGAAACTAGAGTAATAAAATCTGATGCACATTAATCCTAAAGTGCTTCAAATATATGGAAGAAATATGGAAGAAAAATGGAAAGACCAGTTGATGAGGGAAAATTTTAATGTTCCATATGTTAGCAACAGAAGAATTATATGTGAATTTCATTTTCTTGCATAAAATTGTATTTGGTGATATCAACATTGATATCGACGACGATGATATCATACAAAACGTTGGACTCTTGGTTCTGCAAAAAACTACTGGAAAAAGTTGGACTACCTTTGTAGAACATTGAAAAACTGATGACGGTGGGAACGATACATTCAACATGCTTCTATCTTTAGCCAACAACTACTGTAAATAGATTTTTTCAACACTTTGAATTCATGCTTCAGAAAATTGACGAATATCCCATAAAATAAATAAATTGATTAATTTCATCTCGCGACCGTTGACGTAGTCCGGCCTGCCATCTTGTACTACGCTGTATGGGATCCCAGGATGTTGGTTATAAATTGTGTCATTTGTCTGTGAAATGTGTGTGCCTATGTGAGTTTCTTAATTTATTTTCCCATGAATCTCTTTAATTTATGACTCACTAGCTGAAACTTTGCATGGGCAATCAAATATGCAAGTGTAATGCAAAATTGTATACCCATGTGTTATGTTGCCTGCTAAATAAGTGTTGACAAATAATATGCAGATGGCATGCTTCATAGTGTCGTTGTGGATGTGTTTATATGTAATTGGAAAATCATCATAATCATCCCGCCACTGTGAAGACTGATACGTGAGGTACAGGGGAACAAGATGGCAGATATCATCAACGACCTATAGAGTAGAGACTTTTAAATATAGTAGCTCCCTTATTCGTTTATTGGGGACTGTCTTTTAACTTTTCTTAGGTGTAATTTTATCTATTTTGACCTATTTACGTAGTTGAAAATTTAGAAATTGTCATAGGTAAATTGTCACCAGCGGTGTTCAACCTGTCCCCATAATTGTGGTGTCTCACGGTAATGCAACCTATTACTGCGTCACTAATGCATTAAGTAACATCATTTTTCTATTGATCTATTGTAAATTTATCTCTAGATTATGGAGGAAGTATGCACTATGTGCAAGCTGAGTTTTTGTATGGATCAAAAGGTGAGGTAGAATAAGTGAATTGGGATATATGTTGAACCAAATATGACCCGAAATGCACTACACTAACAGCAACTGAACTTAAGGTATTTTCTCTCAAAAGAGTGAAAAGACAGATGAAGTTTTACTGCCAAAGTTGCCAGAGTAAAGGCCAAACAAATGTGCAATCAGCTTCAGCAAAGATGAATAATAAAATTGATGAACTACAAAAGTCTAACGAATCTCTGAAGAAATGAAAGGTTTAAAGCAGGCTCATTGCCCTGAATTGGTAAAACCTTTAGAAGGTTGATTCTGAATCCTAATATGCAGAATTTATTCAGCAACAATAGCAAGCTAAAAATATAATCTTGTACAATGTAAGTGAACCCTTGATTTGTGAACAGAAGAGCGCCTGCCCAAGGATAAACAAATAGTGAGTTCATTTCTACACAAAATCCTAGATAAAGATGTTGACGTACAAACAGTTTGTATTGGAACATATAGAAATTGACACCAAGACCTTTAAAAAAGATATTGCCAAATTCAAATCTAGCTATTTTAAATTTTGAAAGGAAGAGACAAAAGGGCTCTTGTCTGTATCTATTGCGAAGCAGGTCAGTTGTCCCATGCGAAAGGTTGGTGCAAACTGGAAAAGTGCGGTAATGTTGTAAGTCTTTCAGAATTTTCAAATGAGGAAATTGATTTGACACAAATAGGCACAAATTAAAGAACATTTGAGATATTCTTAGAAGAACGACTACAAATATTACAAAAATTAATACAATTAAAGCATTAATACATTGAAATAGATACGTTCAAGTGAATACGTCATGATTGCCACATGTCTCCCCAACCCTCAGTTGTGGATAATAAAAACGGCCAACACCTAGGTATATCACTAACTGGCAAAAGTCCAAATCATTCGACTTAAATTCCAAATAATTTACTCTGGTCATTAGTCTCGTAAGTGTTTCACATGGCGTATCCAAAGAAATGACTGTATTCCTTGCCCGTTAATACGTGGGGTCAAGCGACTACATTCCTCCTCACAGGCCACCACCCCTGCCATCACATATTATACATTAATAAGACCAAGTATTCTATATGCTTTGCCTGTATGGTCTCCTTGATATGATGTTCATAGCAATAAAGAAACAGTACAACATACATTTTTCTTATTTGCAGCTTGGAAATTTAAATTACCGTCACCTTGCATATCTCATGATTATAGTCAAATTGCCACGATGTTAAATATTAGTATATTAGTCACACAGGCATTTAAACAATATCATATTTTTATATGATTTATTGAAAAACAATATTGACTGTGCAAATCTTCTATCCCAAATCTCATGAAAAATACCACATTGAAATCTTCAATTAAAAAATAGATATACATTTGAAATACTGTTAGCAGAAACAAATACGAGAGTGTAGGCTTCCGCGGCCGGAGTCAGTATTTACTAGGCTGTCCGGGTGACGCCGCGCCCATGGCGAAGGTGCCGATGTTTCGGTCGCCATTCTGCGACATTCCTCAGGACGTAGGGCATAACGCCCTGAGGAAGGTCGCAGAATGGCGACCGAAACGTCGGCACCTTCGCCATGGATGCGGCGTCACCCGGACAGCCTAGTAAATAAATAATAGAAACAAATACATATTTTCATGCTCCTCTACTAAGAATGAACAGAGTAGCAAATTCAATTGACATAGATCTTGAGATACCCAAAAATGACTTCATTGAAAATGAATATGGCGATAACAAATGATTTTGCTAGACATTGATTATAACATGCACTAAAGTAATTACTTTGTTGGTCATGTTATTATCTACATGTTTTACGTAGATTAAAAATAATTGTAAAATGACATGTAAATTGGGCTATCGCATCTTTTAAATAATTAAATAAATAAATACATGTTTTCAGGTAAGAACCCCTCACCAAGGTGACTCTTTTGTCCACAGCATCCCTAAGGGCCACCAGCTGCCCCTTACGTAATCCTCCAGTCACTTCCCCTTCTATGACTCCTTCGCTGTCCAGCCGCAGCCGCACGTTGGTCAAGAGCACCCCGCTGAGACGCATGTGGCCTGCTGTGCCGGTGCGTGTGGAGACAGGAGTGGCACCGGCTGGCAAAGAGGCCGGCTGAGGGGACACCCCTCCTGCCAGAGGCACGGGAGAGAGCTGATGCAGCTCGTCGTCAAAGGAAGGGTTGGGATCGAGGGCAGACGCCGGGCGGCTGGAAGCCATCAGGCTACTTCTCCTATGGACATAAAGCGAGTATCGTCATGCTAATTAGCAAACCTTATAATTCCATATTCCATCCTCTTATTTTTTGTTCACTTTATGATATAATATAATTATGAAAGAAGAGTAATAAATAAAAGTAAATAAAAAGTATTGCAATGACAGGGGAGTCTTGGGAGGAAGTGAGATTGAGATCTGAGTCAAATTTCTAGTATCTCTGTATTGTACATAATAGTGAACTACATCTCATGATATTTTAAATGGACAACTTGTTCTACTTTTCATCACATAAACAGTGTCACAACAAAACACATTATTCTTTCTGTCCATCTGGAACAGTTTCATATGAACTGCATATTTTTTGATATGACAAGCCACTTTGCCACACATTTCCCACCCTTTAATGTGACGTTTCCAACGGTTTCCTGTTTTTCCACAAATAGGCAACATTCTTCTATTAGTAGTTCAAAGAGCTCAAAGTACGATCCACACTTAATGAAGTACAAAGTACGATCCATACTTATCCCTTATACAAGTAAAATGTATACTTACTTGGGAAATGGCGAACCAAAACCTGCAAGGTACGAAGAGGTTGCAAGTGAGGATGGGATGCCTGCTACATGCACTTTTCCCACAAATGTCAGTCCAGAATACAACACAACTCCACCCAAAGGCTCCACAACTGCTACCATGTTCAGAAGCTGCAACAGAAGCCAGCACATGACCACACACACGTGTAAACTGTGGATTCTCATTACCTCATGTTTCAAGAGAAAGAAAATTTTGATTGTTGCAAGTGGGAAAACATATTACTGGAAAATGTGCAATTTGTCAGTTTTGCATTCCTATCTTCACGCACTAAAATAGGGAAAATAAATTAAATAACTTACACAATATAAAAAACAACACAAATTTCCAACAAATACTCTACTGATAAATCAATTCAATTGCAAACCATAACAGAGTATCACCAAAAGTACATAAAAATATTTCAAAGCGATTTAATTTAGTGGACATATTTTGTTTAATTTTAAATAGCATGACTTCAAGAAAGGCCATTAAAAACTTTCTTGATAGAATTATAATTCAAATTCGCCCTTTTCATACCGGTAAAGATGCAGCATCCTTGGCAGGTAGACAACTGACTGCTCCGAAGATCAGCTGCTTCTCGTGGTTGGAGAACTTGAGTCGTGCCAAAGACAATTGCCCCAATGCAGGAACCAGGTAGCAGAGAAAGGAATTACCAACCAGGTCAGTCGTCAAAAAGACTTTTGAGGCAGGCCCGGTAGGCATGTCTCTGCAGAACACAAGGATATTTGATACTTCTCTTTCACGGCCCAGAGTAAATATTAATTTTTTTAATACCATCACTTTCTTATGCAACTCTTTAAACATGTCGAAGAAAATGCACAATACTTATGGACAGAAATTCACTATGTTCTGAATCCAGTAGTTTTCAACATTCTGTAACTATAGAGACCATGATTCATGAAAAACACCAAGATTTTAACTGATAATAGGTATAATATGAGAAAATAATATTTTTTTTATAAGACCAATATATGGAACTGATAAATATTATTTTCCATTATTAAAAGACTGAAAATAGTGGAAAACTCAAAAATCAGAACAAATCTTATTTTTTGGTCCATGGTTTACAACTAATGCATAAAATAAACGTTTTACTTTCCCGTATACATACGTATACACGGGGTATTATAAATAGTATAGGGAATGTTATGGAATACTTCAGAAAATCGACTTCGAGATTTTGACGAAAATACAGAATTTTGGAACCCCTCATACAGAAAGATGGGTTATTTTCAAAATGTCCGTCTGCTACTAAACCACTAGCTTCTAAACCATGCATAGGATTTTTTTCAAATTGAAGAACCTCTTGTCTATTTGGCTCGAGTCGAAGCTTTAAGATTTTGAAAAACTTTCTTTACAATTTTGGGGTACTGTATGTGAAGCATGCCAGACATTCTCAAAATTTTTCTCAAAAATGGCTCCAAATATTTTCTTTAAATTTCTTGTAAGGATAGAGTAAAATACACTTATAAAGCTGGCATAGGTTCTATTTTCATTAACTCAGAATTTTCAAAAATATAAAAAAAGGGAATTTATTCCACTGTCTTCCTACAACTACAAAATAAAAAATAGAGATTTTTCCTTCAAATGAAATTTGTTCTTCATAGATAGTTCTTCAATTAAGGTTACAAACATTTTTTTCAAAATATTAGTAGTTTTTGTGTAATATTGCGAACAATACGTGAAGGAAAAAAAAAATTACAAAAACAAGATTTTCTCAAAACCAGCTCCAAATTTTTTCCTTAAACTTTTGGCTGGCATAGTGCTAAATGCACTCTACAAGATGACATAAACGCCATATTGCTCCATTCTCTTGTTTTCTCAAAAATGACAAAAATGTAAATTTTTTTACTTTTCTCTGACGTCGTTAATATTTACCTGATCAACAATTTCTTTACATTAATGTATTTATGAGTACATGTGTTTTAAATAATGTCAGGTAAAGTTTACCAAACACTCAACAGTTTTTTGTGAAAATGAGCTCAAAATTACGCATTTTTAGAAACACTCAAAAGCCATTTTCTCAAAAATTGCTCCAAATTTTTTTTTCAAAGTTTTCCAACAGATAGTGCTAATTAAGATGGCAAAATTAATTTTCCTTTATTCATTTATTTTTTCACAAATTACATAAATGTAATTTTTTTGAAAGATCTCTCACGCCTTTAATATGCATATTTCTGGTGATTTGAAAACACTATTGCATTTGTGACTAAGTGCTTAAAATGGCATGATATTAAGTGTTTTGAAAACTCAATAGTTTTCTGTCAAAAGTGGTTCAAATTATAAATTTACAGTAGTGCTTAAATGCTATTTTTTTTAAATTGTCTCCAAAGTTTTAAAAAAAAATTGCTATAAGGACATCGTTTTACTGTTCTTCAATATTCTTAAAATAATATTTCCGTTCTACTTTTAGGAAACCAGAAAATTTCAAAAAATGTACTTTGGGCAGTGACAGATGGCAGCTGGCGAGAGTGTGTGGTAAGTCTGAATAGCTAGCCAAGACCAATCGAAATAGGAAACTAAAACGAGAAAGTCTGCATATTTATTGATTTGGCCTTACACGATTCAATCTCGAAGTCGATTTGTTCTGCATATTTATTGATTTGACCTTACACGATTCAATCTCGAAGTCGATTTGTTCTGCATATTTATTGTTTTGGCCTTATACAGCTGTACCAACCTACAAAGTTTTTCTAAGGAAATAAACAAATAAATACCTGGGCGTTCCAGAGTTCTCTGACCAGAGGTGTTCCAGGCAGATGCTTGCAAGCAGTGGACACGATCTCTGATTGACGTCCACTGCCTGGGGAGTCATGAGGCGCGAATCTTGCAGCCCCAGGCTGGTTGCATGCAAGGCAGTCTCTCCGCCACTTAGCCACGACATGCTGCGCGCTCCCATGCCCATGGAGTGGTGCATCAGCGCAGAATGAACCGGAGGCTGACTGAGGGCAGATTGCGAGCCAAGAGTGGACCGAAGAGAATAGGTCCAGCTCTCCCTGTGAAGACACAAACAACAAAATACAGTGGGGCATACCATTGGGTATGCTCACTGCGTGGCAAAGCAGCAAGATGATGGGTGTTGGCTGAGCCAATGCAAGCAACCGCAACGCCCTGCTGCGGTACCTGACAAGGATTTCTCCTTCCCATGGTGGCTGCTTCTTATGGGCCTCCCCTCTCTTCCCATGGTGGCTGCTTCTAAAGGATTGTAGAGTGGCACCCTCCCAAACACATTAATCAAGGGAAACATTGCAGAACATATATAACTTGTAATAATTTGGGCACACAAACAGGGCAAGTTTTGAGAACGATTCAAATTGAGTTTTGAGAACGTTTTGAGAACGAGGTTTTGAACGTTTTGAGACAAGTTTTGAGAACGATTCAAATTGAGTTTTGAGAACGAATTGAGCAAGTTTTGAGAACGAGGCAAATTTCAAGTGCCTGCTTAAGCGAATGATCACTGTTGTTAGAATTGGTCATATCACAGAATGTTGAATCACCATCCATAGCTGGTTCATGCAGAGGAAAAGCAGGGGTACTGAGAGTTGGAAGGATGTGGCATGATGCACTGTTACAGTGTCATGTCACCGCAAGTGTCACTATATGACCTGATTTACCATTTTCTTTAAATTTTGTACATTACTTCCCCACTGGAAAATTGCCCTAATTCAATAGGAATTCTTCCAAGATAAGTGAATCGATTTTATTATGTAATTGAAGACTGAAAAACTGATTTTAATTTAATAAATTAAGATGCTTGTTTAAGTTGTTGCTCTTTCCCAGGGCCTATCCTCAGTAAATCGCATTTTTGTACATTAAAAAAATATAAAGTCTACTTGTTTTGAATTGTGGAGGCCACAATGTGGCAAGCAATCACCATTTGACATAATTTCCAATGTTCTACATTACAACTCCACTAGAAAATTGCCACAATCCAAAGGATATTCAAAGACAGGGACAATCGATTTAAAACAGCCTTTTGAGACTGAGTTAACTCATTTAAACTCAATATATCAGACACTTGTTTACACGTTGCTCTTTATCAAGACCTATTCTTAGTAAATTACTTGTTTTATGCATTCAAAAATATAAAGTTCACTTGTTTCAAATTATTGTGGCCTTCTATGGGGGAAGGTTGAAGTACATTATTTACCTAGTGAATATACAAGCACAATAAATTAATAAAGTAATGCACCAACCTGGCAGTTTGAAACGGACTGGGTACCCCACTGGCAACTGACGAAGACCCCAGGCTGTTCCTGCTGGGGCCGTAGGGACTGCTACTGTTGCGTGCACTGGGGCCCTCTGACAACCGTCCCAACCCACTACGCCCCACCAGGGACAGCCGGCTGCCATGCATGGAGGTGGGGGAGCCAGCTCCGCTACCGATGGTCGAGCCGATATTTGTTCCTAGGGAGGAGCCGTTCAGTACAGTAGATGTGCTGCTGTTGACTAGCACTGCTTGCCGCTCCTGGAGAAAGAATTCCAAGTTTCATCCTCCATTTATACATTTCACTGTATACTCTGTTTATACATTTTCAATTACATTCTCCCTATCTCTCTTTCTCACGTTTCCTTTGTTATACCCTGTCCAGTCATGTGATGAATTATTTTGACATTCGAGCATGCCAGACTAAATTGAGGAGAGAGGTCTCTGTGTATCATACAGAAAAGATTTGCATTCATTTCACATACACATTTGGCAAACATGTGCTGTTAAAAAAATATTTTCTTAGCAACAATTTCCCAAACTTGTAAACTTCCCGCTCTCTTCTGCATTACCCACAAAACAGATTAATGTGTTCACGGTTCACAACTTTACTATGCAAGCATTAAACAATGTACAAATGAAGTATATTCCGTAAAAGAATAAGGGGCCATGAACAAGAAAGAGTGTGAAAAGAAATGTCCTTAGGTGTCATCAGCTGATAAACAAACACCAATTCAATGCGCAAAACTTTCAGGGAAGCCTAAAATCTGAAGAATTATCAAACTGGGAGAAACTGTGTAAATGTGAAGATGAAGAGTTAAAAACCACGATTTTGATGGAGAAAAAATTACGATAATTCAGGCCACAAGTTGTAACATTCTCATCATTTTCAAGACTTTTACAATTTTATTTTGACTAAATAGTAAGAATTAGTTACAAATTTAAACATATCTCAGGAAGCGTCGTCATATTCAGGGGGTTGTCTTATATTTATCATGGTAATCATAATATATCAGAAATGTGTATTATTTCTCATTACAATCCTTAAGAAATTTGCTTGGGCAGTAACTGGGGATCCAGGGATCACATCAAAGAGGGTATATTTACTTACATCTTACGAGAAAAATCCATACGTTCCACGAAATTTGCTGTAAATATAGGCGACTTTTTAATTGGCCATTTTGGTAGGCGATGGTGTATATTTACAAGGATTCTTATTTACAATTGATTTGTAGCCCTGTTTCAACCTCTAGAGAATTAAGGTCTAGTTATACTATTAGGGAATCTTATTTAACCACAGTGATTCTCACACATGTTATTTTAAATACAAATCATTTAAACTAAGAACTTACATCAAGAGCTGCTTTCCTTATTTTCCACACACTGTGAAGTCCAATGTTAGAATCATAGAGCATGAGGATGGAAGGTATTTCAGAAGTAAACACAATTTTCTGGCAGTCATCATTCATCACAGAAACATTGGAACCTAGAGAAAAAAACAACAAAAAACATTGTATAAATATATTGGAGAATATTCTGCAAATCACAAATATAATGTAAGAACTTGGTGATGAGAAGGGATAAAGCTATTAGGTGATAAAAATTGTAATGCTACTTTTAACTTTTCAGGAAGAGATTTACACTTGAAAAATTTAAGATCCAAAATTATTGTATTTCTTTCTGCTGATCATGATTAAAGTAAAAAAATCTCTGAGGCTGCCTGTAACTACTGTAATTAGCTTCTGGGTCAAAGACATCATCATTGTTTAGTTTTCATTGAACTGCTCAGCAAATGTTGAGATGGCCCCTTGCTTTACTAATGAACATGAAATGTAGATTTTCTCCCTCCGAAATGTCATATAAGTTTTTAGATTATATTATACAAGTATATTACTATTTACACAAATATTTCATATATGTATGTGTGTGTATATAAAAAAATAAATACCATGCTTAGCAACAACAGGCACCATTTCATCGAGTGGATGGCTCAGGGAAAACACCCTAGGCAAAGGAGCAGAGCCGGCGGTCATGCCATCGGTTCCTGTTGATGAATTGAAGGAGGTGAAACCTGGTATAGGACACGGTGATGATGGAGGAGACTGTGACGTTCCTCGTTCCAGTATGAGGCCATGTAGACATGGCCACACTGCACTGACCTGGAAAATCGTGAATAATTGGAAGCAAAAAGATTAAAATCCTTTTCCTCCACAATCAAGTGTTATTTTCTTGATTGAAGCCTTTGAAGATGAAATAACTAAAAAGAACAACAAAAACAAACACACTGAATAAAATCTATGTTTCAGAAATGATAAACTACTCAAAATGGAATATAAATTACCACTCAATGACAAAAACTGACATCAAATCTGTTGCTAAGAATAACCATTAAACCATTAAAAACATTACCACATGTATGTAGTAGCTTGTACAATACACTCTGCTTGTATTAAAAAAAGTTGGATGTAGATATATTCTATTGAGTATTTTATATGTTGAGTATTTTATTAAAATTTAATGCTCATTTTATATATTGTGAATAATTACATACAGTTAAACACCCCAAGAATTTCATTACCAATTACCAAATGAGAGTTTGAATCATACCTGAAACTGCAAAGCAGCTGTATAATCTTCTCCCTCAAGGGTAAATGCCCTAATGGTCTCGTTGTCGACAATACATACACAAGGCACTTGTGTCTCTACAAAGTACAGTAATACCAACGTTAGCCACTACACACCTTATGATACAAAATAGGCATAATATTACACAAACTTAAATATACGAAAATACAAGAAATAATTCAGCGAAAAATTGTACACCAAGTACTCCCCACAATATGCTGAACTACCATTGTTTTACGTACGCACACAGAAAAATTGAGAGTACAGTTAATAAAATATTAGATTAAACTTGCATTATTATAACATTAAAGTACGTAGAATGAAGAAACTTATTTTAGAACACACAAATTAGAGAAAGAGTTTTATATATTGCCTGTTTTATATTACATAAATAAATAAAAACACCTTTTAAAAAACAATAAATTCTGAAAAAGACAGTGTTTGGAGAAATTTCTTACTTTAAAATTAACAACAGAAGACTGAATTGCAAACTGTGCTTCACACATATGTAGGTCTACCCTAAAATCACAAAACTGAATATGCATTGAAAGTAAACTATAAAACTTAATTACAAGGATGATAAAGGGTTTAGAAACAATTCAAGATAAGGAATTCACGTTCCCAAAAAAATCGATATTTCTACCATTTCGATGTGTACCAGAGATTTGGAGATTTCAATAAATGTGAATTATTGGTAAGTCATGGCAGAAGTCAAGTCATGGCAGGAGTCAAATGATTGAGATTTCAATCAATTCGAGTTTTTGAGGTTCGAACTCTGGGGCACACGCCGAACGGCGGGTCCTCGACGTGTTCTTTAGGAAATTATTTTTTGTGATCTTCGTTTTTAGGGGAAAATGGCCACTATTATTTTCTGTTAGGAAAAACGTCCGGGAACATTGGAGAGCGCAATCTAATGTGCCCGAAACCCAACCCCTGGGGCACTCACCGAACAGCGGGTCCTCGACGTGTTCTTTAGGAAATTATTTTTAATGATATTAGTTTTTAGGGGGAAATAGCCACCATTATTTTCTGTTAGGAAAACCGTCCGGGAACGTTGGAGGGCGCAATCTAATGTGCCCGAAACCTGACCCCTGTGGCACTCACCGAACGGCGGGTCCTCGGCGTCGTGGGCGGCGGGCGAGGCGGCGGTGGCGCTGGCCGGGGGCGGCGGGGGCGGAGGCGGCGGCGGGGGTGGCGGCCCCAGCACCGTGTTCCCGGCCGCCGACTGGCCCAGGCGCTCCGACGCCGCAGCCGCCGCCGCCAGGGAGGCGTTG